CGGCTCAGCTTCGCCCCCAGAACAAGCGGCTTCGAAGCTGTCGCGGGGGCCGGCGGAGCGCAGGAGGTGCTGCAAGGGCAAGGTGCAGTTGGCCACCAAGTCATCGGAGCCCACGGGGGTGTCGTGGAAGACGCAGAGCTGGGTTGCCTGGGCTGGGCTGGGCTCGGGGCCACCTGGGCGTGGGGCGGTGCCGGGCGGGAGGAGCCGCGGAGCCGCGCCGCGGGGGCGGGCCCGGGCTGGGGCCGGGCGGGCGCAGGGCTCGGCTCGCTGCCGTCCCGCCCCGCTTCAGCCCAGGCTCGGCCGGCAGGAGCCAGGAGCTGCCGCCGGGAGGAGCCGCTGCCCAGCGCCGAGAAGCGCGGCGGGGACACCCAGCCGCTGCCAAGGCCGGGACAAACCTCCGCACCGCCCGCCGGGCTCCAAACCCGCCGCTCCGCATCTCCCGGCAAGGGCTGAGCCTGCCCCTGCTCCGACCTGCGGCATCTCGGCGCCTGCACGGCCAGAGCAGTGACCCAGGGCAGCGCTGCCCCCGCCGCCCGCACGGAGGAGCACATCGGGATGGGCAGGGTTTCCCTTTGGAATCTTTCTTGGAACAGCTCTGCCGGTTGGGCATTAATCGCAGCTGATTAAGATTTTTGGCACTGGGCGTGCAGACTTTGTTTTGAGGCGCGTTTCTTGGGGGCTTTGATGGCACCTAATAAAGTTGGAATGAAAAGAGTTGGAATTGCTTTGCGAAGTTCACAGCAAAATGGGGTGAACTGGGTAGGGAACAAGGAAGTCCTGCTTTCCCTGTGGCACTCTTCGGCTGACATCTTCCCAGTGAGGTTGCACTGCCTGAGATGTGGTCCTTTGAATATCCCCACCGCAGCTGGATAGTGCCGAGGCTGGCTGAGAGCTTGCAGCCTTTTCTGGGCATGTGTTTCTTTTTTCTTTTCTTGTACTTTTCCAGACCACTCTTCTCACCTCAACCCTTCATCTTTCCCATTCTACCCAGAGCAGAGCAGAGTGCCCCTGGTTTGCCCCCACTTTCCTCCTTGCCCCCTTGCCCATGCTCTCTTCTTCTTGAGAGCTCCAAGTCTTGCAGGAGCACCAAGCCAAGGCTCCTTCCAGCCTCAGACAGAGCAGGGGGCTTCCCATTGCCTCCTCTGGAGAGAGCAGGTGGAACAGCTTCAGCAATGTTATCATTCCTCACAGGGAAGCAACCCTTCTGCCAGAAAAACTTGTGGAGTCTTTTAGCAGACTTCTGACAGGCCAGCACTCCCAGCATGACCTGGCCTTTTTGCTCTGCACACAGGTTTTTGGTACAGACCATCAAGGCCCTGCTCTGCTGTCTGCAGTGGGACAATGAGGTGGTGTCAGTGGAGCGCAAGCGTGGCTGGGACACGCTCCTCTGTGCTGACACCCAGCACTATGCAGTGGGGCTGCTGGCCAGGTGAGACACCCTTGTCCCCACTGCCCCCAGCATCTCTGCCCTGGACACGGAGCACCCCACACAGCCTGCTGGGAGAGCTTTGCCCACCCTGATCAGGCTCCATGGTTCCTTCTTTCCCTCTGACAGGGAGATGCGCCACGTCTTGGTCTCTTTCTATTCCCCCATGGCAATCCACCTGCTGGGGCTGCTCAGCACTGAGGACCCTCGTTGGGAGCTGCCTGCCCTGGCCTTCCTTGTCGAGGTGAGCCTGATGGCGAGCGCTGCCTGGCCCGGCTGCCTCCCCCTCTCTGCCCTCTGGCAGCCGCAGCTGCCCGGGACGGTGCCTGTGCCCTGTGCTGCTGCCTGGGCACAGCCCTGGGCGGCTCCAGGCTCCTGCTGCCCGGGCACCCCTTCACTGCTCTCTGCCTTCCAGGTCCTGGACTTTCTGGATGGGAGGAAATTTCGTGACAGGGTCCTGCCCATCCTGTCAAGGAACCTGCGGAGCCAGTGCCCAGAGAGACGTCGCCTGGCTCTCAGAGGCCTCCTGGTGCTTGCTGTGGATCCCTCAATGGTGAGAAGGGGACACCCGGCTGAAGCCACACCGGCAGCCTGGGGCTGGGGAAGGCAGTCTCTTGGGCTTGGCTGGGCTTTGGGAGATGTGGATGCTCCTCCCAGCTCTCCTGCCTCCCTGTGCAGCTGCCCAGACCCTGTGGGACAGGCCTTTGGCCTCTGGGCCCCGGGGCAGCAGCGTGGGGTTGCACCACCAGAGAGCTGTTGGTGGGGCAGCTGTTCAGGGTTTCACAGCACAGCACTGTGTTCCACACAGGCTAAAAGCATCTGCAGCCTGTCCCAACACCTCCTGGAGCTGCTGCCTGATGCAGACGGAGAGCTGGTCGTGATGGCCCTCTCTGTGTTTGAGAGTGTGAGGTACTTGTTGAAGCCCAAAGAGTCAATTCAAGATTTCTCACAAATTATATTTCCACCCCCCTCCAAACTACAGAGTGGATCTGTAGAACTTGACACCAAAATCTACAGATCTTACACAGTCCTGTAACTTACCTACAGGTTTAAAAAAAACCATTTTATGTCTTTTCCCTAGTAATGTCCATTACAAGATACAGCTTCCAAGAATTATCAGCTTCAATACCTGGAGAATACCTTCCAAAACCTCCTTTTGTGTTTTTGTACTGCTCTATGTACACCACTTAAGTGTCAGTAAGAAATAGATCACAACTATTAGGTATGAATTAAATACTTGAAAAATCATATTTTACTTATCCATTTCTGCTCACAGGATCACGCAGCTCCTGGTTATACTGAAAAAGAAAGTACTTAACAGGGTGTACCAACTTTCCACTAGCTGACCCTTAAAACTGATTTTTTTTAAAAACAAAATATCTTCTTTTATCTTTCTTAGATCAAAGCCCAACTGTAATTCATCTCTCTGCTTTTTCACAGCATGAAAGCATGAACATGGAGCAAAAGTTGTCTGATAAAACCAGACCTAATTCTCTCAAAGTCATTCCAATTTGTTTGGAAATATTAATACTTCAGCACCTCATTTGTGCTCCACAGTCAGCTCAGGAATAGATATTTTTACTACACAACTAATACCTCACTCAGGTGTTATTTTACAGATCAAAGCTAACTCTGCTATTCTATCATATTTTTCAGGTTTGAGCTCTACTTTTAGGAGTTTCAAACCCAGTAAAGACACCAGAGCTGACAGTGCACATGGTAAATAGGTCTCTGAATGTGTGACAAGGCATAACAGATTCAAAACACAGCTTTAAGTCTCATGCATTCAGTTAATATACTGATTTTTAAAAATAATCTTTCCTCTCTTACATCTGCATTTAATCCTATATATTAGGTGCCATGGGCCACTGCAGGGCTCTTAAGTGTGACTTTTTTGGGGTGCCCATCCCTCAGTCCCCACATCTCTCCATTACATCATCAAAATAAGGGTGTTTTTTGGTCTTGTTTTAACAAAACTACCTGTTAATTCTTTAAAGATCATACACAGAAAACTCTTTGTTTTGTGTTGCCTCTTTGCAAATGCCTTTCCTAAAACTCATCCTGTTCCATCTACCCCTTAGGATTCATATCAATCTTAAAAAAACAAGGAAAAATTGCCACTGAGAATCACTACACAGTTAGCAACTGACATTATTTGGGAAAAATGCAGCTGTGAAATTACTTAAAGGGAAGGAACAAAAATGATTTGTGGAAGTTTTATCACACTTCTCTCATACTCCCACACAGTTTGCTATTCCTTCCATTCTGTGCAATTTAACAGCACAAAAATCATCTGGCTTAACAAACAGTGCTTTCCCACTTCTCTCAGACAGTGTTTTCTCATTGTTGGGAGTCGCAATTTCACTTGTATTTCCTTATACAAAACCACTTTGTTGATAAATCCTTCTCTCTCTGTACTGCAAAGGTATGACCAGAGTTTTCCTCAGGCAAACAAACCTTGGAACAGAAGTCCCCAAGCACAGAAAGGATTTTCCTTACTGGAGATTTAAACCTCAAGCTCCAAGATATTGAACATAGTGAAGAATCCAAGTCATGCATTTAACACCAATAAAAACAATTTATCATTCCTTGATTTATAAGACACAATAAGTATTTGGCTTTTTCGCATATAATGCATTAGCAATACAAGTTACTTTCATATGATAAAAGTAAACTTTCTACAGGCAGATTTTCTCATAATCACTTCTCTCTAGAATTAGAATCTTAAGGAAGTAGAAGGTATCAAAAGTCTTTCAGGAAAACAGATAAAACACCTAACAGTGAAAGTTCCATTATAAATAAAAACCTGGCACTCAAGAAGCCCCATTTTCCTTCATGTAAAGAGTTTGGATATGAATTATTCTAGCTCTGATAAACTACTGAGTTTTAAAATTTGAATTCAAAGTACACCAGAATTCATCAGAATTTAAAAGCCTCAGCATTCTCTGATACACAAATAGCAACTGAATGAATAGCAAACTTATTTAAAAAATAATCAATTTGTTTTAAAGAAACACAACAGTCAAAGCAAATGTGAAACCCCTATAAAGTTAATCTGTACCAAAGACTCCAAATCAATACTTCTTGAAGTAACCAGTTACTTGTTCAAAGTTCAGTGAACTTCTAGAAAATAATGCTCACACGTAGACTATTGAGCTTAGTTTCTACAACCCACAGAAACGTATTTCAGTCACCTGGAGCAAAGAAGACTCAAGAATTTCCACTAGGAAAAGACAAAAATATTAATAACAGAATTATCCTCAGCAGAGCCCTCAAAAAAGCTGCTTGAGTGGTGCAACTGAGCCTTGGAGCAGTACCTGAAACACACCTAGCAGAGGAGCCCTTTTCAAGCCTTATTTCCTGCAGCTGTGGGAGGGAGTGTTGATGAGCCCAAAGGCTCAGCAGCTGGGACCTGGTATTCCATGGAAATTTCCTTCTCAAGCTGCTGTCTCTGTCTTGAGCTAGTGCTAATGGCATTTTCCTTATATAGCTACTTAATTTACTGCATTTTATCCGCACCTTTCAGAGCTAACTGTTAATAAACTGGAGCTCTGTGTAACAGCTGGTGCCCATCAACTGAAAATCAGGGTGAACCCAGACACCAGAAGATGTGGGGGAAGCAGAGAAGAAGCAGGTGAATCACATATCAGGCCTAAATTAAGTGGGGGAAAAAAAAGTTTACTGCAGTTAAGATATGCAGTTAAAATATGCATTTTCCATATTTTCAAAGCAACAGTGATGGAGAGATAACAAAAATCTAGTTTTCTGTACAGCAAAGGCACTCAATTTCTTGTCTAACTGGATTTGATGGTCAGTTGAACAAGTGACCAAATACTCACTGCTGACCTCACAACTGCCAAAGAAATAAGAGGAACCAGCTGTATCTTCCCAGCTGAAGAGAAACTTTATTCAACATGTAATAACTCCAATTCTTCTTCCCTTATTCATTTTGTGAAGAATGGGCTTTGCAAAGGTTACAATACTTACATTTCAGAATGTGTTAATTGGTAATTCAGGTAAATTTGCTTGATAGCACCGGTTAAAATTGAGAAAGAGAACATAGAATGCCACGAATGTAGAATTTTAGGTATAATACTATCCCTTGTGTAAACTTTTGGGGTAGGTAGAACTCACTGAAATCTTGTGCAGAGAGTACACTGAAGAAATCTTCAGGATTATTAGTAATAAGTGGCTATCCTACCTTCTCCCTGCCTTGGTTTTATCTGTGTGATTTAGCACAGACTAAATCTACATTTTGCTGTTAACAATTGCACAGAAACACTCCTGCCTAACAAATCCTGCCTCATTTTTTTTCTACTCAACTAATTAGTCTAATAAAAGACATTACTTGTCCTTATATAACTTGCCTTGCTGATATCCTTAGGCTGTCAATTAAAACATCATTTCTATTTAAAAAAGATCAGCCAGGTAAATTTGCTTAGCATAGGAAATCAGCCCAGATTAGCTTTACTGTTATTTGTAATGACAGATAAGGCAGAGCTTCTCAAAATTAATACTGTCAGGAAATGAGGGGTCATGTCTATCATGACTAATAGTGACTGTTAAGCAAAGACCTTTTAAAAAACATTAATTGCTGAAGATTTTATATAACAGCCTGCTTCTGACACACATTTGCATGTATGGAAAGCATAAGAGCCACTGAGAATCTATGAAAATTAACCTTTCTACTTTCAAAAGCTGCCTTTTGTAGTAGATATAATTAAAGAGATAAGTAAGGTGGAGTGAATTCTCCTCTAGGGAGGAATAACCACCTGCATCACCAGCTGGAAAACAACTGCAGATAAAAATATGTGGTGGTCCTGTCGGAAAACAAGACGGACATGAGCTGGCAGCACATCCTTGTGGCAAAAAAAGCCAGCAGCATCCTGAACTGCACCAGGAAAAGCACTGCCAGCAGGTGGAGAAGGTGAACCTTCCCTCTGCTCAGCTCTGAGGAGACTCAGATGGAGTGTGGAGTCCAGCTCTGGGTGTTCCAGTACAAGACAGACACGGACAGACTGAGTTAGTCCATCAAAGGGACACAAAGATGGTTCAGGAACTGGAGTTTGTGTCATTTATGAGAGGCTGAGACACCTGGGGCTGTTCACCCTGGACACTGTGACACAGTATTTTAGTGTATAAACACCTGACAGGGGCAGAGTAAAGAAGAAAAAAGATTGATACAGAATATTCCAATTAAATATTAAAACCCCCACTGGAACAGGTTTCCCAGGGAGGTTATGGAGTCTCCATCCTCGGAGTTATTCAAAACTCAGCTGGAAACAATCCTGGACAAGCTGCTTTAGCTGATTGTGCTTTAGGGATTGGACTAAAAGATCTCCAGAGGTGCCTTCCAACCTTGACAAGAATTCTATGAATTGTGCTCTTCTCACTGTGAAGGACAGAGAGATGAACCATTTCCAGCACAACTTACCCTTCCCAAAGTCAGATTCTCCACCTACATTTGGAATCCCTCTCCTCACTGGCATTTCTAATACTGC